GGTACAACCTCGGAGGACGCGGTGTGGTGTGTGTCGTCGTGTGGTCGTCGTGTCGTGTGTGTGTGTCGTGTGTCGTCGTGCGTGTGTGTGTGTGTGTGTGTGTGTGTGGTGTGTCGTGTGTGTGTGTGGTGTGTGTGTGGTTGTGTGTGTGGTGGTGGTGTGTGTGTGTGTGTGGTGTGTGTGGTGTGTGTGGTGGTGTGTGTCGTGTGTGTGTGTGTGTGTGTCGTGTGTGTGTTGTCTGTTGTGTGTGTGTGTGAATCTTGTGACTGAAAATTCATGCAAATTATCTATAAATTTCTACACAAAGACGATGGGTGCGCCAACCGGCCAAAACGCACAGGGACCAAGAGAACCGCGACTCGGAGAACAGAGCGGCCCACTGCCCGCCCTTTCAGGACGAGTTGATGCACAGACTGACGTTGGGTCGCAGCGCTCAGAAGAAGATGCAGGTGTCCTCCTCTTCCTCCTCTTCATCACAAGGAGCAGCGATAACCTCCTCCTCTTCATCACAAGGAGCAGCGATAACCTCCTCCTCTTCATCACGAGGAGCAGCGATAACCTCCTCCTCTTCATCACGAGGAGCAGTAAACTCTTCCTGCAGCGTTGGATACGACTCGAGTCCAGAGAGCGTCAGAGAGTGGCTGCAGAGCAAGGGCTTCAGTCCTGTGTGAGTACAAATATACTTTATACATACTTTATATATCAAGTATGTATAAAGTATATATAAAGTATGTATAAAGTATATATAAAGTATATATAAAGTATTTATAAAACGAACAAGTCAAATCAAGCAATCTGATTGGTTCTTAGCCGTGATATACTGAGCGTATACCACGGGCAGAATTGTACAGTAAGTTACTTTTCACAACAAGCCAGTATCCCTCCGCGTCTGAGAAAATCAGTATACCGTTGGACTGTTTCATACTGGAACAAGAAAGCAGCGGAGAAGTAACGGGGCAGAAGCCCTCCGTTTTGACGCAGCGGTCCAGACATAGACATCAAATGGCAAAACATATTCAGTGTGCAGTTCCTTTGGCATTAGGGCAGGGATATCTAGATACTTTCCAAGGTTTGACATAATGAATTGTGCTACTTTTAAAGCAAGCAACGATGTTTTCAAATCTGTAATCAAAGAGGTCCGCAAAAACACTATCGACCAATCAGATTGCTTGATTTGACTTGACAGTTTTATAACTATATTTAAATTTCTTCCGTTACGAAACAAACTTACAAAGCATAAAATGGAAACATTTAAGATTAACTTCGACCTCCGGGGGGGTCTTACTATAGTATGGAGGAGTGGATTGAGCAGTGCCTATCTCCAGAAAAAAAAGCACCTAAACTACGACATGCAGAGCTACGTGAAGAGCAGGTAGACCAACTGGAAAAGTACCACCATTCAAAGCTTTCTGATGCGGGTCTTGAAACAAAGCAGAGAAATTATGACCGTTAGTGGCCACAGGTGCGAAAGCTCTCTCCAGAGCTACTGGAAGCCCAATCTCGGGGACCGGAGAAAGTGGAGCAATATTCTCGCCACGCCAAGCAACAGCCTCGAACAACCTCAACCTATACAAGTGACCACGTAAGCCATGCTACTGATGCTGGACAGTTTTTCAGTGGATGCACAATAAACAGCAACATACACATTAATGTAAATAAACAGCCAAATAATGGATCAACGCTCTCTGTCTAATATGTTCGCTTGCTGTTAGTGTTGTTGCATAGCAACCACCTTGCACTATGTTTTGTGCAGAAGGCAACGGAGGGACTATTTTATTTTGAACATCATTATTTACTAATAAAAACTATTTAAATTAGAGTGTGTATTTTTCTTTCATATTGCCACACTTGGCGTCGGGCCGAACCACGCCCCTTAGCTGTGATATAATGAGCATATACCACGGCCTGTCGTGAGCTATTGCTTAAATATATTTGATTATATTTGATTATATTAACTTTCGTTTGAATTATTCAACTTAATATGGAGACCTCAACAGGTTCCAGAGATATGGCAAATATACCCAAATGACACCAGAGGTGGGTTTTGTTTTTTCTAAACGTCTCTAAAAAGGTCAAATTTAACTTGTTTCACATCAATCTTGATACACTGTATTTATTATATGTTTTAGTTTGGATTCCTAAAGCTTTTAGTCTACAATCCCATAATTCAAGTGTGCTTTTCACTATAAGTAATGTTTTTTTTTTGGACGGAAACTATAATTTACAGTTTTTTACTATGTTCAATCTGAATTTACTTTAAAATAAAAACATCTATATTGATTCTGACTTTTCTACATCCAACTCACAGGTGTATCATTGCTTTGAGAAAAAAGATGATTAATTTACCCCTTTTAGAAGGGAAGATATAGTCATTTGTTCTGGCCATGTCATTTTCAAGCCTGAAACCTGAAAAACATGCTTGGGGCTTAACAGGTTAATACAGATAGTCCTCTTGATGAAAGTATTTATTTCCTGGGAACAACTGGGGGGATATATCTCCTGTTAACCCATCTGCTCCCCCCCCCTGCAGGACCTGGCTGATGATCTGTCCTCAGAGCTGAGTGGGAATTTCAGTAGCGTGGTTCTGGGTCTGCTGATGCTGGCGCCCGTGTATGACGCATACGAGCTGGAAAATGCAATGAAGGTGAGAGTTTAGGAGAAATCCAGTGGTGGGCTCTAATTTGTAATGTCAATGTCACATCCCATAAAAAGACCAAAACCAAGACTGATTAATCGCGTACTGAGTATTGGCTGTATTGACCAAAGCTTGATTTATATTACTCTTTTTCTGCCTTCGGGCTTCATCAATCTGACACACCACTGCACTGTGACATGCTCCTTTATGAGGAGAGGCAAGGAGAGTTTTTAAAGCATAATTCAACAACAAATCAATGTAATGTGCTTTACAAAAAACATTGTAAGCATTCAAACTTAGTGCAAAAGAAACACACTATAAAACAATATTAAACTCGCTTCAAAAAGTGTAATTAAAGAGCCATAGGGAATAGAAATAAAAATACAAGAATGAACTTCTCATGTCTACACCCTTCTCCTGTGTTCATATCTAGTGTTAACTCATGTCTCTATCTGTTCATCAACAGGGGGCTGGAACAGAAGAGGCCGGCCTCATCGATATTCTGGCTTCAAGGTCAAACGAAGAAATGAAAACCATCAATGAGTTCTACAAGAAGGGTAAGGGCCTGCCTATAGATTGTGTATAATATCTGATACGTTGTAACGTGACTTAGCTTCTGTCCTTTGTTTGGAGATGCAATGACGTCCGTTATTACAAAGCAGTGGAGGGCATCAATTATTCATGACAGCCGTTTCTGTTTCCATGTGGCTGTTTATTGTTTGCTTTTGTTTGTTATTTTGTGGATACGATGACAGCAGCGGGCAAATATTTTCAAAGTTACTTTTAAATGTATTTTAATCTGTATAAATGAATTGTGATTGTGTGGTGCTTTGTGTTACATGGACATATTTTGTTCTTCTTCTACCAGCACAGTTTGTGAATTTTGAGCGCACCAAAATGAACATAATTGAAGTTACATTGAGTTGGAAATACTAGCTTTTCCATAGCTCATTACTTTTATTTCGTATTTTTATTTTATTTTCTGTCAGTTTGTATTGAGTTTTCAGCACAGTGTCCAAAATGGGTGTTTGATTACATGCTTTATCATTTAACTTCGTATGTTGTTCATTGCAGAACATGATAAAAGCTTGGAGGACGCTGTGTGTGGGGACACATCAGGAATGTTCCAGAGGGTTTTGGTCTCTTTACTCACGGTGAGTAAAAAGTAGGCGAATGTTTAATGGCAAATGATTATAGATCAAATAAAAAATGAGCAGATATAAACATTTGATTCTAGTCAAATTATTAAGATTGAGATTTGACTTCCTTGCAAAATGACCTGTAAAATGTCAGTAGGAAGTTGAAGTTAAAAACGTTTTCAACCACCCTTTCAATAAGAGGAAGCAGTTGTCAGTTCCTCTATCTTCTCCTATGTTGTGCAATCGTACTCTGTTTTTCCCTTAAGCTGTTCTGTCTTCTGTTTTGCAGGCTGGTCGAGATGAGAGCGACAAAGTGGACGAGGCGCAGGCTGTCCTCGATGCCAAGGCAAGATCTCAGCTTCTTTAAACAAAGTATTATTTAATTATGACTCAGTGTCTTATTACCGTTTGTGATTGTAGGAAATCTATGAGGCTGGTGAGGCTCGATGGGGCACGGACGAGGTTAAATTCCTCACGGTGCTTTGTGTGAGGAACCGAAACCATCTGCTGCGAGGTATTCTTACAGCATATTCCCAATCATCATGTTAACATCTGCACTTGTGATTATAAGTAATGTGTGTCACATGAAAACGCTCCCTTTTATAACTCGTGACATAAACCATTCAATACTGTGGGGTTTTACTGAACCTTTGTGACAGTTTCAAGAGCGAACACTCACTCTCTTTGTTGAGTCACTTTCATTTTCATTCATGTTATGCGTAGTGTCAGTTTGATAATAATAAAGTGTTTTTATTGTTTCCTTCCTTCAGTGTTCGAGGAGTACCAGAAGATTTCTGGGAGAGACATTGAGGACAGCATTAAGAGGGAGATGTCCGGCTGTCTGGAGGACATCTTTCTGGCCATAGGTCTGTTTCTATCTCTGTGACAAGCTCCATCAAACAGACTATTCTATCTATCTTTTGCCAATTATAAAGATGTAACGCCATTCAAATTTCAAATGAGCACAGAAAACTAGAGCCCGACACTCAAATTTGAGAGGCAGAAAACAAAAGATGCACCAAAATCAGATTAGGAAACTTAAGTCACAAGGGGTAAATATTTTCAGTTTAGCACACATTGCTGTTCAAGCTCTTGCTCGGTGGTTCCAAATGATAGGAATACATGTTCAATCTAAGGCAATTGCCTTCATTGTTAAAGGTCCCTTATTATACTCTTTTTCATCAATATATTATCGGTCTCAGATATATACAAAACATGTCTCTGAAGTGTTTGACTCAAAATACCAAATAGATTGTGCATTGTAGCGTCCCATAAACCCCTCTGTTTCAGCCCTGTTTCAAAAGTGCTGATTCTCTGTCTGTAGCTTTAAATGAAAATGAACTGCCACTCCCCACGCCCCTCTGTGATCTGTTTGGTTTTTAAAAAACAAAAACATAATGGTGCTCTAGGAGGAGATACAGGTGAAAAGGTGGGGGGGGGAGGGTACCTTGGTTGGTTATTTGCTAATGGTCGAACAACCCATAATAACATTGTGACATCACAAAGTGTAATAAAGATTTCTGTTTACATTCCAACATTTGTATGCCAATTTGCTCTAAATGTCAAGTCAGAGCTTGATTTGTTTTTGCTCACTGATGTAAGACATCCTGTGCTCACTACATACCCTGAACACAACACAACAATACTCTCACTTTCTCATGTTGTGAGGGCATTGCAACTCATGCGCTGGGATTTGTTTTTGCTTTACAGTGAAATGCTTAAGGAACAAGCCGGCGTTCTTTGCAGAGCGATTATACAAATCAATGAAGGTAAATATTTCATGCTTGTGATGAAGCTACAATACCAACATGTGAAGTCACTCCACATACATTACATTATTGCTTTGTGTTTGAATATGTTTCACTAGTTATCAGTACAGATAATTACAATAGTTATGTAAAACCCAGCTTGTCTCTCCTCAGGGGATGGGCACCACAGATACTGTCCTCATCAGAATAATGGTTGCGAGGGCGGAGATCGACATGTTGGACATTAAGGCGCAGTTCCTGAAGATGTATGGCAAGACCCTCCACTCCTTCATTAAGGTAAGGCAATAATAACTAGGGGCGGGAAACACTGTAGTCAGCAAAGGCTCTGCAATACATTAGCTTCAGTGTAATATTGCCTTTCATTTATTTGTGTACTCTGATGAGACTTAAATGTATCACTCCTTTCATTTCATTTGATCGGCTGAAGTGATATATTTAGTAAAGTCTTTAAATCTGAATTTGTATCCATTTTGCTTCATGTCACTGATCACAGTTATTCCCTAAACTAGACGATTGAAGTCTCACAAGTCTTTTCTCACTGCGTAGGGAGACACATCTGGAGATTACCGCAAAATCCTGCTGGAGCTGTGCGGAGGCGAGTAAAGCAACATCAGCAAAGCATCCAGCTCGGTCTTTATTATGAGCTTTTATAACGTTGATGACTTCCTTTATTTCACCCGCTCTTCTTCCAATTTGCATTTCACTGATTGACCGCAGTGCCTTCTTTTACTGTCTGTAATGTAATACCAATTAAACCAAAGACCAGCGACCTGTTAACACGTGTCTGTGTTTTCTTTATCGATCCCTGTTAAGGATTAATTAATGGTATTAGTTAGAGAGCAAGAGATATATGCTTCTCACATCCTTCACCACTTAAAAGATTATTGTTATTGGCAACTAGCTCCTGATCTTGTTGCGGCACAACATTTTCATCATGTGAAAGTCTGTGAAGTCCATTTGTTTAATTGGTAGCAATTACTAATTTGTTGAGTCAGCCCTTCGTCATTTGACTCAATTACATTAACGGGATGCTAGCTTGATTTGAGGAGGCAGTAAAATGGGCTCTAATCAAGTAAAGGAGAATGTCACATTGCTTATACAAACATACAGCTCCATCTCAGAGCAATAAGCCGAGAAAGGATGTGAGGTTGTTTTGCTCAAGGTGACCACTAGGTGGAACCAAAATAACTCCTTGAAGTTTCTATGGAGAAGTACAGCATTATCTTTCAGCGCCCTTTATGTTGCAAAGTACAGCCCTCAAATGTCATGTTCTGCAAAACATGACTAATCTGCATCTCAGTAAAAACTAGAGGAACCTGACATGTGCTGTATTCAGACTTTACTACAGGAAGAGTTCAGCTAAACGCTCGTCCCGCAGGCTCTCTGTGGCGCCAACTGAGAAGAAACATGAATTATTCTCATCAGAGTTGTTGTTCACCATTCCCTATGTTAGTCAGCCAAAATGCCTGCTTCCATTCATGTGTTTCTCTAAAAGGACCGCCACCCTCTGTGGCCATCTGCGGAGTACTCCTGGTTATTCCAGAATGTTCAGAGGCGATTATGGAAAACAACTTGGAAGTCAATCCTAGAATGTGTAAACCATTGTCTCAGTGGTAGACGTGTTCAAGGCATTGGCCCCTATATCATAGTGAGCAATTTGACATTATATTAAGAGAAAAAAATTATATCATTCCAATTAAGAGCTTTCAAAGAAATGTCTCTGCTTTATCGTGGACAAAATAAATCAATTTTACAAGCACCTTCATATATTTGAATTCATGGCATGAAGTCTATTCATTACGAGGATTAGATTTTTCATTGTGTACAATAAAATACAATTTATAAAGGTAAGCACTTAAGACCATTTAAATAAGAGTTTCTCAACAGGACCGCCAAGGAAACCACTTCTCTATGGTTGGAGGACATTATAAATCATTGATTAACTATAGTGATACAAAGTGGGTACAGCAAGCAATGAAAACTTATAACTATAAATGCTCCAAAATGTTACCATGGCAACCAATACAATAGATGCACCTTTCACCCTGTTGCAGCTTCTGTCTTCTTTTGAGAAAGGAAGTGCTTAAAGGTGGGGAAGGTAAGTTTGAGAAACCGGCTCGAGATACACCTTTTGTTATACTCCATGGAATGCTCTTGACTTCCCGATGGCAATGAATATCTTAAGTGTTTTTGACAAAAAATGTTCCAGATATATGGAGCATAATACCTGAACGCTACTTCTCATGTAAAACCTACTCACTGCGTACAACTTCTATCATAAAGAAGCAAGGCAAAATGGTGAACTGTGCCTTTCAGGTATGTATTATGATATTTCTAAGACTGTAATTTTCTTGTTCTCTTTGAAAAGGCAAAATGGCAGCATTTTCTCTTTGCTGCCTTATATACTGTACACTTTTGTCCAGCCTTACTTTATCGCAGTGTAAGTAGCATATTGGGTCTTTATTTTTACACAGTCATTTTCTCTTTTACATATTGAACATGCAATGCACCAGCATCCATGTAAAGACCCTGCCGTGAACGTGATCACAAAGAGAAAACTCAGTATGTAAAATATGTACCAGCTAGGGTCTACTCACACATTGCCCTCGATCAAGGCTCTGTGCAGGGGGCCGACCGCATGGAAGACACTGGAACAACAGGGAAGCAAATGTCAGATAGAGGCCAGGCTTTTGTTCTAATCACAGGGGATGGAAAGGAATAAGTGGAGGTGGGGAGAGTCACCTGTCGCCTGGGGGGGTTCCTCTGCAGCCTGCAGGTTGATGGGGGAAGAAGGTGATGAGGGAGTTGATTGTGAGGCATTTGGACACCACAGGACCAGGCAAAGGACATGAATATAATTTGCATTTGTTCTGGAGAAAGAACAGTGACAAAACGTTGTAGCATCAAGGCTTGGTGAAAGACATGCAGAAACTCAAAGACATAAAAAAAAACAGGGGTAACGGTAGACAGCATCAGGTACATGATATGGTTGTGAAAAACAAACAGGGGATGATAAGCAGCAGCAACACATACTGTATAGAACAAAGTGTGAAGGATTTATTTTTCTCTGTGCAAGGTCGGTGAAAGTATCGTTGTGTTGTGTTCGGGTTATATAGTGAGCACAGGATGTTTTACGTCAGTGAGAGTGGCCCATGGTGGTGGTGGGGTTACGGTATGGGCAGGCGTATGTTATGGACGACGAACACAGGTCACCCGATTCACAACATTACCCTAACCCTAACCCTAACCCTAACCCTCACACCAGATACTGACTGGTTTTCGGACCCCCCCAACAAAGCAAAAATGCACGTTTCAGAGTGGTCTTTTATTGTGGCCAGCCTAAGGCACACCTGTGCAATAATCATGCTCTCTAATCAGCATCTTGATATGCCACACCTGTGAGGTGGGATGGATTATCTCGGCAAAGGAGAAGTGCTCACTATCACAGATTTTTTCAGATTTGTGAACAATATTTGAGAGGAATGGTTATTTTGTGTATATAGAAAATGTTTTAGATCTTTGAGTTCATCTCATGAAAAATGGGAGCAAAAACAAAAGTGTTGCATTTATATTTTTGTTCAGTGTAGATTCTCTGGTGGATTGATGATAAAGAGCTAATTATTTGCTAACAATTCAGATTCATCTTTAATTCATTTTTCAAGCCAAATCCCAAAACAATTCTTACATGTGAATTCTTGCTGCCTTTTTCCTGTCTTAATATTGAAATAGAATATCTTAGGTTTTTGGACTGATGGTTGTATAACACAACATATTTGAAAAGGATACAGTACGTTGCACTCTGGGAAACTCTGATTGTTGCAGCCAAGCACAAAGAATGAAAAGCTGTGAATATGTTTGACTTTAGTCTGGAACTCAATTCAATGTGTGGTCAGCAACTGTTTAATCAATTATTTAAATATCAAATGCCTCCTGAATGAAATACATTTCTTAGGAAATGTTAAGAAAAATGTTGCACAGTTGTTAATGTTTAGACGATATAGAATGAAAATAGAAAATAGGGGTTAACCCCCCCGCTTAAAAAACAAGATTATATTTCTCTTATCATGAAAGAAAAGACACTAGTGTGGTATCATTATTGTGAGTCAGGTATTGTTTCTGCACTGGCATTTCATTTTTAAAGAAGACCCTGCCCTACCAGTCGGTAAGGACACTATACTACATATACGTAAGTATGTAAACTGTTTATGGAGTGATTTCTATAATACAATCACGTTTTTTGTATAATGTGTCTCGTATTGTTTTTTTTTTTTTTATAGTACTCCATACCTAAACACATGTGGATTTAGATACTCCAAACATCTGACAAATCCTGAACCGTTATGTTTCTGTTCCATAATTCAATTGCCAGTGTCAGGTCAATATCAGCCTTTAAGGGATATCTCTCAAATAAGTGCTGTATAAGGTCCTGTCTGAATGCATGCATGACTGAACTGCAACACCACAATCCCAGAGACATTAGTGTTACCTGGACTCCACAGGGAACGGCTCATAGAGGAACTTCTTGTAGAAATCCTTCTTGATGTCATGGACGAGGATCACAGCTTTGCCCTGGTCATCAAACTGAGGCCGACCTGCTCGTCCCATCATCTGCAGAACATCTGCACACAGCACACAACCATCACATGTTCCACTGTTCTTTAAGGGTGCATTCACACCTAATAGTCCGCTTTCTGGTGCACACCAGACCACAGTTTGTTACATTGTTTCATTTTTCAGAAGGTTCGGTTTGCGTTCACACAAAACTCAAACGGACTATAAACTTTAAACACAAGTCATGTGCACGGAAATGCTGTTCAACCATTGGTCAGACATTAAGGGGGTAAAAACTTAAATCCCGGCAATTTCTACCGGAGCCTCCGCCATGGAGCATCGGCACTTTAGGCAGGTTATTCTCATGCTGCTGTTAATCTGGAGATCAACAGACATCTAGCGGCCCGCGCATATGATTATATAATCAGACAACGTCCGTTAAAAAACATTAAAACACATAATGAGAGACGTTCTGGAGTAAGGAGGGGCGTTTCACCGACGACATGTGTTCTTACTTTTATGTAGCTGACGGAGAATTTTTACTTTACACAACACTGTTCAACACTTCATTCTGCTTCAGCAACAACCGCGGATGTCTTGAAAGACTCTTTCGCTAAAGATTTTGAAGATATCCGCGTTCTTGTGACACGTAAATACTACGCTTCCTATGTTTTGGTGCGGACTGCGTTCACACCAGCAAAGAACCGCTCCAGAGTTCGCAAGCAAGCGCTCCGAGACCACCTATTTTAGCGGACCAGAGTCCGGTTGTTTAGTTCACTTCAGAGGTCTCGGACTGTGTTCACACCGACCCAAATGAACCGCACCACCAAGCGGCTAAACGCACCAGGGTTCGATTCAACCGGACTATACAAGGCAGGTGTGAACGCACCCTAAGGTGTCATGTGGACTATTGATACTATTCATGTATTCACTAATACTCAGGGATGTGGTACCTGCAGCCAGGGTCCTGAGCAGTGTGTGGGCCATGTCTGTCTCAGGCGTCAGCAGCACGCTCTCCACGACTCTCAGCACGGCGCTGTTGGTGCTCCGCAGCAGCTCGGGGTTATCCTCCGTCACCGTGTGCAGGCAGTGGGCTGGACACACAGAGAAAGGACAGAGTCAACAAGTGTTTCAGTACTAGGGATGCCAGTGATTATTCGATTATTCGAATATTCGTTACAGTCTCCATAATCGAATATTATTTTTAAAAATCGATTTTATTTATA